CGCGGCCTCCCGGAAGCCGGTTCGGTTCTCCGCGGGTGGCGGCGGCTTCCGGCGCCGCGGGTCCGACCAGGCTCGGGGAGCGGCCCCGAGGACCGGCTGCGCCCGGGGCCCTGGCATCTCCGCGCTCGGGCCGCCGCCGGGGTCAGGCTTCCGGTTGTGGGGCGCCGACGCTGTAGGGAGAGAAGAGGGGAGGCGGGCGGAGGAGCTGAAGCTGCGGAGGGGAGAAGAGGCCGATGGGGAGAAAGAAGACAGGGCCCTGGGAGGCGAGAGGAGCTGGGGGACGGTGTAAACTTAGCAGGCACCTGCGAGAGGAGAGGTGGGGAAGCCGGGAGACCTGGACGCGGAGAAAAAAGGAGGGAGGGGGAGAGGAAGGCGGAGGGCAGCCGCCGCAGCTCCTGGTCCGTTTCCTAGGCCCCAAAGGAAGACAGATGAGGGTTTCGCCCTCTAAGAATGAGACCAATTAAGAAAAATCTGACCACATGGGAACATTCCATTTTGTTCAGGAACGTTTTCAAATCTATAGCCTTTAGAATTACAACCACCTATTTGTTCTAGGACTAAACATAACTGACAACTCTGGTTAAATAACAAACTGATTTGCCCTTTCTTTAATATATATGTATAAACATCCGCCTTTTTGCTGTGTACAATTTGTTGAGAAAGTACCAAGAGCAGACCCCAGGGGGAGAGGTCTCATATTACAGGTCCTCCTAATTGTTTAAGCGCCCCTGACAACAGAACTATTTGGTTTTCCCATCCGTGTTTACACTGTCATCTTGGTCTCTGCAGAATCGAGCATTTGTGAGTGGATTTTTATCTGGCTTCTTGGACACCACTTACTGGTAAACCACAGCTAAGAAAGATTTTTAAAGCCTGGCTAGGAGTTAGAGGCCCCTGGTTAAGTATAAAAGCACACACATCGCTTACATTTCCCCCTCCTTTGATGATGGAGTATAGAGCTCCTAAATAGTATGTCATGAAAACAAATTTTTTACATTATTAATAATTTTCCCTAGCTCTGCATACAGGTTGGTGAGCAAATCTTAGCCAACTTGGAAGCTGGCAACTTTCCATGCCCCGTTGCAACAATATCAGCTCCCCGTTTGCCTGGGTCCTGGTGCCTTCCAAATAGGCACAAGAATCCATCCTGATTTTTCTTTTTGTTTTTTTATTTAACGGCTGGTTTTCAGCATTTCTCTCCTCTTGAATTGAAGAGCTCTCTGCCCATTTGTAGCACTCGCAACACTTCAGTTAAAGCGATTTATCTTGTCAAATTGACAATGTCCTTTAAAATCAGCTTTCGCCCATCAATAATAGCTGGTTATAGTTCATGTTTTTGCAAAGAGGTTGATTCTAACTTATCATGGTCAACGTTGTCCCATACACAGCTGAACAAAGTTCTGGTGGATAGCCAACTCCTGACTGTCAACTGTTGACCTCACAACTGCTTCCCCATTGATATCACCATCTGTTGTCATGGGAAAGATTGTCCGATATTTGTGTTAAATGCCACTGAAGTCATTCAATTTCCATGTGGAAAAATAACCCAAAGTAAATTGCCCTGTGAGGTGCAATTTTTCCCAGAGATAGTGAATCCAACAAAACACCCCACCCACCCACACAAAGAAAACCCCCACCAAAAAAAACCAAAAACCCTTCCCCACGCAAAATCACTTATTTTTTCATTCCCTCAGTAACGTATCTTCATTTCATGCATGAAATTCTGCGTGTGTGTGTGTGTGTGTGTGTGTGTGTGTGTGTGTGTGTACGACTCGGGTGTCTCAGGGCCATTCGTTGGGGCTACAGGGAGAGTGTGGAAATGTCTGGTTTCGGCTCCTTTCGCGCTCAGCCCTGGTGGGCTCAACCAGCGCTGCGATCTCCCGCGGGACCCGGGCGCAGGGGGGACCCCGCGCTCCTCAGGGCGCCTGCCACTGCCGCGTTCTGCGCCTGGCCCGCGCAGCTCCCGAAAGGCGCGCTGCGACCCCTTCTGACACTTTCCCTGCTCTGTGATGGAGCAACTACTTAACATGCAAAGTTTTCTCCAGCCTGCCTGGCTCGCTCGAAATCATTTCAGTAGCTGAACTGGCTTCTTTCCGAAAAGGCTGCCAAGACACACAAAACCTTGGGGACACATTTTGCTCCTTGCGAACACGAACACGGACCCGGGGTCTCCTGACTTGCAAACTCTGACCCCTTTCTCATCGCCCCCTCTCCCCAGCTCCCACCCCCCGGACCCCAGCGCCTCTCCCAGGGCTCAGCATTTCTACCACCTTACCTTTTCTCTCCGCCACTGGGGCTTCGGGAGATGATCCAATAATCAAACAGAGGAGCCAGAAAGCTCTAGCTGTCATTTTTGTAGACACGGTTCCGAGGCTCTGAAACTAAGCCTGAGCTTTTTGCTCTTTCTCTCCCCCCACCCCTTCTCCACACCCCCACCCCCGTTCATGCTAATGAGGGGCAGCCTTTGGGGAAACAGGAATCACTCACTGGACAGACCATTGGAACAACACGGAGCCCTGGGTATTTCTCCCACTTCCTAAGGGGTTACGAGCACATGGTGTCCCAAAGTTGTCCCCGCGAATGTCTGTCTTGCCGTGTGTGGGCAATGGTAACCTCAAGTCCTAAACTCTAAAGCCCTATGGGTTTGTGGACTGAGCTGGGGAGAGGAGAGGGTGGAGTGACCGACCAGTGGAGAGAATGAGGGTGTTTGGGGCTGAGGGACAGGGGAGGGGAGAATCCTAATAGGAAGTTTTTTTCTAGATTAAGTCTACAACAAATAGGCAAATTAGTGCTAAGACAGTCTGGGTTTGTGGAAGGGAGGGGATCTCAGATGACAGAAAGTTCATCCCAGAATGTGTCAGGGATTCCAGAGAAACATGTCACTACATCCTAGGTTAGGTTTCGTTAAACTGTTCTACCATATAAATAATATGTATATTCTAGAACCCGAAGGAAAAAAGCCTCAGCAAAATAGCTTTCCTTCTACCTTCCTTCCTTCTTCCCACTTCTTCAATTGAAATTGATTCATCAAGCCTTTTTTTACCCACCAGGTCCTAGGGGACATCTTTTGTGATGGCTCATCAATTCTAGAAAGGTGGGCTTTTTTCCCTTTTTCCTAAGAAAAACTCTTTCACTGCTTAGGTCTGAATTCTTGAAGTGGCTCTGTATATGAATCCTGAGCTAAGGACCCTCTTCCTCAGATGGAACAGAAACAGCATTTGCCGAAGGGAAAAATAAGCTCAGCATAGTAAACCCACAGCCTTCCCGACATGTATCCCATTTCAAGAGCTTCAAATCCAAGAGGAAGTGGAAATGCATTGAGATGAAGGCATTTTATCTGAAGCATCTGAGCCAACAGTGAGATGCAGCTGCTAAAAGAAATAACAAACTTTTACTGAACTATCTTCTGTCTCAAAAATAATAGTGTTAGTGGTCTGACCAGATTCTGGGGGAATCATGTTTTCCAGAAAGACCCTGGAAAACTAGAAGTAGACTAGAAGAAGTGGGGTGGTGAGAGGACTGAACTCCATCATGTTTAAGTTCTTTTGGAGGAACTTAGGATAGGCAGCCTAGACAACCAAAAACATTTGTTACATTTTGTGAAAGAACCCGTAGGTAGAAATTATGAAGTGAGAGGTTCAATTGCATTTGGAGAAAGAATATTCTAAGACCCAAGATCTCCAAGAAAGCAGATTGCTTTGAAGGGTTGTGACAGTGAGCTCTGAACATTTGGGGCATCCAAAGAGAACATCATTCAGGGATTCTATAGAACAGGTTCCTGAATTAGGTGTGTTATGATTTGAGGGAGACAGTGAGGTAAACATGTTCATCTAGAGAAAAGCTGGCTGTCTAGTCACAGGCTGACAATATGTTGGAGGGTGTCATCATGTTCTGTGGTCTGGTCCTCAATTTTCCTCAGCTTGAAACTCAATTTTTGCAATGGATCAGATTTGTGGGGCCAATTCATGTTAACCAAACTCATAAAAAGCAGATGTATAAACCAGAACGTCATTTATTAATATGCAATGGAGACACTATAGTAAAGATGATTTAGAGGTCTAATAATTAATCAGAAGGTTGTTTGTTGAGCACGAGATTGAATTGAATCTGAAGGTGGGTTAATCTTCCTCATTCCAGTTCTAAAGGAGCTAATTCTCTATTTTCTCCAAAAGAATAAATCTCTCCAGTCACTGCAACACTTGAGTACACCAGTCAGTGTCTCCAGTCTCTGGCCAGGACCAGATAAACACCTTGAAATTCATGCTTTGGGAGCCCAGGTAATAGATGTCCTCAGATCCCCTTCTTTCACATGCTCTTTCTTTAAGTCAAGTTGAATAAGATTAATTAGGCTTAAGCTTTCTCAGTTATAACCACATCTCAGACATACCTGCTTGAGATTATATTCAAGTCACCCAGATCCTGTTTGAGGTGTTCCCGAGATTCTTCTGTTGCAGGAATGTTGTGAATGCCTTGCCCTGAAGCCCACACCCTGAAATGTAGAGGCAGAGAGCTGGCTGAATGACTCCCACGGGCTCCTTGAGGCTCCTGGGGTGCCACCAGCCTGGAAGAACTTGCCACGGTCCAGGGCAGCATCTGGCTTGCAGGTTCAGAAACTACACGAATGGTGGAAGGCACACAAAGCTCAGAGACTGAGCTGTGTGAGTCAGAATGTCATTTTATTAATTGACAATAAGAAACCAACTCAGGCAGACAGGAGTGCTCGTGTCAGCCTGGCTAGCATTGTCTTTCTATAAACAAGTCATGCGGGAAGCCAAATTATCATCATGGTGCTTGGTAATATAAACCAGAGCATGGGGAGGCTGTCACGTGATTGGAATGTTTAACAGTATTGGTTTCTCCTGGCCTAATGTGTCCATCTCCACAACAGGTACACGTGTCAGATCGCAGAATCTGAGAACCTACCTGTCTTCCACTTTCCAGCCAATTTCTGGTGTTTCAAGTGTATCTTTCTTTTTTCTTTTTTTAAAGATTTTATTGGGGAATTGGGGGAGGAGAACAGCGTTGGGGAATCAGGGAAGGGGAACAGACAAGCTGCTGTCCTTTTGTTCAGTCTAGTTGTGGAGGACATTGATACACTGGCCCATGTTGGTATTATTGTTGCACTCTTCCTGAATGAGGCAGATCGGTTGCCGGTCTCTGGATGGCCGCTCACGGCGGCTCTTGGCAGCCGGCCACACACGGTAGCCCATGGCAACCCACTGCAGCAGGAGCAGCAGCCTATGCCATCGCCGGCGACTCACAGCAGCCCAGCTCCAGGCCAAGCTGTTGTTCACCATCTTAGCTGTAGAGGGCAGTGTCACTGGCCCTCATGTGGGATCCGAACCGGGGCCCTGCTGCTCAGAGTTGGTGTCCCAAGCCAGCTCTTAACCAATGAGCCACTCAGCCGGTCCTCAAGTGTATCTTTCTGCTTAGCAAATTATTGTTGATCATCTACTATGTGGCTATGTGTTGTATAAGAAAGAACTTGTGCCAGGTTCCTGGCATGGAGCTCCTAAAACCCTTGGAGTTTTCCAAGTGATAGAAATGTCTTTGTTATTCATGACAGGAGTTTATGCTAATGAGGTGACTCTTGGAGGGCCCTTTGATAGCTTCAGGACAGGAGCTAGTCACCGGAAAGACCAAGCATGAGTCTTGGTCAAAACTTTGGGCCAACCCAACCCCTAGGGAGGGGAGAGAGGCTAGAGATTGGGGATGGTCAGTGATATAATCCATCATGCCTACTGGTTTATTGAAACCCCCGTGAAAACTCAGTGGTGCTTCCTGGTGGGTGAACACATTGATGTGCTAGGAGGGTGATTCACCCTGGTCCATGGAGAGAGAACAAGGAAGGTATGCAGTTGGGCCCTCCTACATCTCACCCTACGTGTCTCTTCATTTGCCTGGTCCTCATTTGTATCCTTTATAATAAAACATAAGTATAGCACTTTCCTGAGTTCTGTGAGTCATTGTAGAGAGCTAGCAAACCTGAGGGGGATCGTGAGAACCCCCCAGATTTGCAGCCAGTTGGTCTGAAATGAGGGCAGTCTTGTTGTGGACCAGCCCTTTAACTAGTGGGATCTGCACTAACTCCAGGCGGCTAGAGCCAGAATAGAATTTGCAGTCCACCATTTGGTATCAAAATATTAAGTGCCAGGTACTGTTTTAGAAGCCAGAATTACCAGTCAACATCATTCTTCCAAAAAAGTACAATACAATTGCTTTGGTTTCCATTAGGTAAATTAGGGTCACATCCTAGTTCTGTTTCAGGACCATCTTGATTGGGGCCAAGGTCTCCCCAAATTCTTCAGACTTTCACAGACAGCCCTTAAGTTTACTCCCACAGGCACTGGGCCAGGTCCTGGGATATTAGGACATAAATCCTCCTCTCAAGTGGCTCACAGACTACTATGGGGAATAACATTCAATGAGAGTGTTAAGTGCAATGCGAAAAAGCTGTACCAGTTCTAGAGAAAGCAGTGGTCCACAGGAGATGGAGGCCACGTACAGGTTGCTGGAGATGGCACATAAACTCTGGTTTTAGGAATGACTGGGGTTCACCAGATAGACCAAGGAAGGCAGGCAGCCTGAGGCAACAGCACGCACAAAGGCACGGATATATGAGACGCTACCCAGGCCCAGGAAGCATGGCGGCACGCTGGGGAAGGATCCCCAGTGGGAGAAGGTGCTGGAGAGCCTCCGTGCCCTGTAGACAGACTCACTCACAGAAAAGTGAATCCATGCGTGGTTGTGAGTAGCTGCTTTGTAATTCCTTATTTTCATATCACTCTACATTATTGTAATGGGGAAACTTGAAAAATGAGAAAAGTATAGACATAAGAATTACAAAACGGAAGCCATTTCTTACAACCCCCTTACCACCCCACCCCCCAAAAAAAAAAAAAAAATTATTCAACATTTTAGTACAAGCCCCATTTTCCATACCCCCCCCCCCAAAAAAAAAAAAAACAATCACTGCAACTGCAACATTCCCACGCTGTCCCTTTCAAGCTCTTTCTTAGGTATTATTTTTACACAGGTGCATGGTCCGAGTGTCTACACTGTTTTGGATCCTGTGTTGTTCACATAACACCATAACAGAGGCGCTTCCCCATTTCATGTTTTGTGTATACAATTTTGTACCCAGCTTTTATTAAATTAAATCTGCTAAAATAGTATTACAAACTCTTTGTAAATGTGAACTCTCGTAACTGCCTAACATGTTTTCATTTATTTATTTTTTTTTAAAGATTTTTATTGGGGAATTAGGGGAATAGGAACAGTGCTGGGGAATTGGGGGAAGGGGAACAGACAAGTTGCTGTCGTTTTGTTCTTCAGTCTAGTTGTGGAGGATGTTGCTTCACTGGCCCAAGTTGGCACCATCATTGCGCTCTTCTCTGGCGAGGCAGATCAGTCGCCGGCTTCTGGACGGCCGCTCATTGCGGCTGCTGGTTATATTCAGTAGCCCATGGCAACCCACTGCCACAGGGGCTGCAGCCTATGCCGTCGCCGGCGACTCATGGCAGCCCAGCTCCAGGTTGAGCTGTTGTTCAGCATCTTAGCTGTGGAGGGCAGTGTCACTGGCCCTCATATGTGGGATCCGAACCGGGGCCCTCTGGCATCCCAAGCGAGTTCTTAACCATCGCGCCACTCGGCCGGCCCTAACATGTTTTCATTTAGACAAACCATAATTTGTGAACATTTTGTTCACAAATTTTCCATTTTTGCCATTGAAAAACTTTCTGTGTACCCATCAACAGAGGAATGGCTATAGTGTGATACAGTGGAATATTATAGAGCAGGGTTTCCCAACCTCGGCACTATTGATATTTTGGGCAGATAATTCTTTGTTGTGCATCGTAGGATGTTGACCAGTATCCCTGGCTTTATCCGCTGGATACCAGTAGCAACCCCCACCTCCATTTATGACAGCCTAAACTGTCTCCAGACGTTGCCAATCATGAACCATATTTATTGCTAATACAACAATGAAAATAAATGAGCCACTATTACAAAAGCAAAATATAGATGCATCTTATAAAGATGATATCAAATAAAAGAAACCTGACACAAAAGACTGTATACTATATAATTTCATTTCTATAAGGTTCATAAATAGCTAAAACTAATCTATGAAATGAAAAGACAGGATAATTGTTATCCTTGGAAGTAAGTAGTATGGCTAGAAAGAGTACTGAGGGGGGAAGGGTCTGTGATATTGAAATTTTCTAGAGTGTGACCTATTAATTTTTGATATTTTACATAAAATATGTTACTAATTTATATAGTCAAGCCTCTTGGGGATTTTTTTGGTGACATCTTCCATTCCTTTATAAAAGTCTAAATTTATACAAGTAACACATTTTCACTCCAAAATTATTAGATATTACAGATAAGAAAAAAAGAAAAACATCAAATATAATCCTATTGTCTAGAAGCAACTGCTATAAATACTTTGGTGTATCAATTTCCAGACTTTTCTACACACACACATGTATATACATGTAATATATATTACATAATTCTTTTATATAAAAGTGGGACTATGGTGTATACATATTTTATGACATGGTTTTTAAATTTTTAATGATATGTCAACATCTTTCCATTTCAATAAATACAGGATTCCGTGGTCATTTTTTATGACTGAATTCCTAGACTCTGAATTTGCTGAGTCAAAGGATATGGTAATGCCAATGTTTTTGCCACATATTGCTGAGTTGTCTCCCAGATACATTTAATCAGTTTGCACTGACCAGTAATCAGTGCAGGCATGCAGTAATGGCTATTTCTCCTCACTGGGATAGCAAATCATCATTATTTAATATCCTTGCTCTTCTGTAGAGGTTCTTTTTTTTTTTAAGGTTTCTCTTTGTTTTAATTCACATTTCTTTGATTGTGGTGATAGTGTACACTTTTTCATAGATTTACTGGCCATTTGGATTTCTTTTGTCAGTTTCCTGTTCATATTCCTTGTCTATTTATTAGGATGTTCATATTTTCCTTTAAGAACTATTTATAGTCTAAGAATTTTAACCCTTTGTCCATTATATCTATTGCAAATATTGGATTGTCAGAAAAGTCATGACGTATTTTTTCTGTTTTTCGTTGCAAAAATGCATCATGACTTTTCCGACAGCCCAATATTTCCTCCCAGAATTTTGATTTTTCACTTCTCAGCAAAATATTGACCATACAACTTTTAAATTTTGTATGGTAAAATCCATCAATCTTGTTTAACAATGTCCCTGGTGTTTTTTTCATGCTTAGAAAGACTTCCTCCAACTCAAATTTATATATGTATTAACCCATATTTTTCTAATGCTTATAGTTAAATCATGATTCCATCTGGAATTTATTTTGGTATGTAGTATGAGGTAAGAATCTAATTTTATTTTTTTCTCGAATAACTAGAAAGTTGTCTGATCCAATTGGCAAATAAATCCATCCTTTCCCAAAGTCGCGATGTTCCTTTAACGTAGAGAATGTTAACTTATAATAAATGTAGGTCTATTTCTAGACTGTCTACTCTGCTCTCTTACTTCATCTGTTTCTTCCCATGCCTATATGCCCCTAGTGAAACATTGCTGTAGTTATCATGATGTTATAACATATCTTTTCAAAAATCGTTTTGGCTAGTATAGTGTTTTGTTCTAAGTAAGCTGTCGAATTATTCTGCTAAATTTTTAAATCCTGTTGGATCTTTTCTTGAATTTGCATGAAATGTCTAGCACTGAGGCACTGAGGCCTGCCAACAACCAGCCAGCGAGCTTGAAAGCCGATCCTCTCCCAGTTGAGCTTTCAGATAAGATGACAGCTCCAGCCCACAACTTGACAACCCTCCTGAGAGATGAGCAGAACCAGCCAGCTAAGCCACTCCCACACTGGCCCACAGAAAGTGTGAGTAATAAATGTTGATTGTTTTAAGCTGCTAGATTTTCCGGTAATTTGTTTTTGCAGCAATGGGTAACAATACACAGTTGAGGGCCCTTTACGCCCCTCCCTAGTCCATTTTCCTATTCTTCCCAGAGATAATCATTATGCTGAACTTGGAGTTTCTACCATTCTCTGAGCCCGGGTTTTTTTCCTATTATGACTATGCCAACTACTATTGTAAACAATATATAATAAATTAATTTGGAGGGTTTAAAAAAATTCTAATTCCAAATTTTGGAGCATTCAATATAAGTATGTACTTGTAGTTTAATAAATAATTTTTAAAATTCATGCATAATTGGGAAATTTTTCCTTTCTTAATTTAGGTACTTGTCTAAGGTTACAATGAAATGAGAAAGAACATCTATTGTCAATAATAATGATTATAATAATAACTGGCACCTATTGAGCACTGTTCCAAGTATTTAAATCTTTAAGTCACAATGAGCTTATACTTTTATTATCCCAGTTTTACAGATGAGTAACTGAGACACAGAAAGGTTAAGTAACTTGCCCAAGGTTATACAGCTATAATTACGTGATACCAAAACCATTAGGTACTAATAGTGCTATCTATTGTATATAAGGTAGGAAGAAAAAAGAAAAGAACCAATTAACATGAAACATAGCTCCTCAACAAATGACAAATGGCCGTGAGGTCTAAATTGATCATGATAGCTGCCTTCTTTCATCATTTATTCCGTGTTTCTCTTACATTCAACTGGGCAGGGCTCTATGCCTGGCAGAGAAACCCAACACTTTATTCCTGTTGAACCTGAATTCTTGGTAGTCCTGTCTTTATTGGATTGCTGTACTTTCCCATTAACCAGGTCTTTGGGACAAGGGCACACTAAAATGTTTCCTCAGTGAATCCTTGGGTTCCAGACATCGCCTCCTTCCTCCACTAAGTAGCAGAGCAGTTTTCTCCTCGGTAATCATATCGGTTGGGCAGTCTTAGTTGGGGCTGCTATAACAAAGATGGCTTAAACAACAGACGTTCCAGGGCTGGAAGTCCAAGATTAGGATGCCAGTATGGTTAGGTTCTGGTGAGAACTCTCTTGCTGGCTCGAAGGTGGCGGTGGCTGTCTTCTTGCTGAATCCTCACGTGCAGGGGTGGGGGGAGAGGAAGTGAGGGAGGGGAGGGGAAAGAGAGAGAGAAGAGAGAAATAGAGAGAGAAGGGAAGGGAAGGGAAGGGAAGGGCGCTGGACTTTTCCTCTTATAAGGACACTAATCCCATCATGGGGGCTCCACCCTCATGACCTCATCAAAACCTAATTACCCTAATTACTCAAAGGCTCACCTCCTAATACCATTAATACCATAACATTGTGGCTTAGGGCTGCAACATATAGATTTTGAGGTGACATGAACGTTCAGCCCTTAACAGGGACCTCTGTCTCAATGTCTATTGATTCAGCAGCATGAGGAGTCCACATGGCCAATGGGTAGCCAGCCCTCAGCTTCCAATGAATGGAACCATGATAGTTTTCCTGGTTTAAACATTTCTCCCTTGGGTTTAAACATTTCTCCCTTGGGCACTGGGACCTCTGGACCCACTAAGTCACAGATCACAGGCAAGGAAACACAAAGCTCTTCCAGTGAATTATTAGTGGTCAGAGTGGGAGGGGCTACTGCCTCTCGGTGATTTCTGGACCCGTGCATTTTAGCAATGTCTAAATCCAGAGTGGTGGTTCTAGCAGAAGCCCTGCAAGCAAGGAAAACACATCCATACCCAGAGCACGGGTCTGTCCCTGTGAGGGGGAGGCGCTGTCCACACACACCAGTCTTGTCATGGCAAACAAGGGATTATTACAATATTTGGCCTCTCCGAGTATTACCCTCCCCGGGTAGAAGCGCCCTCTGCTGGCCTTTCCTAAGATCTGCGGCCACGAGCCACCTTTTCGAATCGTCTACCTCACTTGGTTCCTCACTGCGTTTGGTAGCTTTTCTCCTTTTATTTGAGAGGATTCAGATGTCTCCTACTTTTATTAATGGTGTTGTTTGTGGTTCTGCTTCTCATCCCCTTGTTTGTTGATTTTTTTTGTTTTTTGGGGTTTTTTTTGTCTTTTGTGGATTTCCGACGGGTAGAGAAAAATGACAACTTTACTGTAGTTTTATGCTGCAACCTGGTAGATTTTAAAGTGTGATAATTCTGGAAGTCGATATTATTGGACTGTATTTTAATATTCATTCTGATGTATTTTTTGAGGTTCTTACATGAGTTTTAAAAATTTGAACTAATACAATACTTGCATTTATCCAAGCCTTAAAAATTAAAATTCCAAAGTGATCCAGAACAAAATCAGGCAAAATTAAATGGTGCTGTTAGAAATAAGATTACTGGTCAGTCTGGGAGGAGATAAGGATTGGAGGAAGCTCAAGGGGGGGCTTCTGTCATCATTAATGTCTCCTTTCTTGATCTGGGTGCTGGTTATACAAGTGTGTTCAGTTTTGTGAACATAAACGAACTGCACACTTATGATACGTGACTTTTCTGTGTGTATGTTACATGTTGATAATTTTTCTTTTAGCCCCAAAGTAATCTTTTCAATAAATGATGCTGAGACAATCAGATAGTCACATGAAAAAAAGTGAACCTTGATTCATACTTTTTATCATATGAAACAGTGGATCATCAACCTAAATGTAAAGCCTAAAACTGCAAAACATTTAAAAGAAAACAAAGGAGAAAATATTTGTGACCTGGGGGTGGGCAATGGTTTCTTAGCCAGAACACAAACAACATGAGCTATAAAAGAAAAAAAAAGGCTGTTTTACTACGGGTTTGCCACTAGAACGCAGGTGTCGTGAAAACCACTGATAAATCTAAGCCAAAATGGGAAAGGAAAAGACTCATATCAACATCATCTTCATTGGACACGTAGATTCCAGCAAGTTTACCGCTACTGGTCATCTGAGCTACAAATGTGGTGGGATCGACAAAAGAAGCATTGAAAAATTTGAGAAGGAGGCTCCTGTGATGGGAAAGTTCTCCTTCAGTATGCCTAGGTCTTGAGTAAACTGAACGCTGAACATGAGTGTGGTATCACCATCGATACATCCCTGTGGAAATTAGAGACCAGCAAGTATTATTGATTCCCCAGGACACAGAGACTTTATCAAAAATATGATTACAGGCACGTCTCAGGCTGACTGTGCTGTCCTGATCGTTGCTGCTGGTGTTGTGAATGTGAAGCAGGTGTCTCCAGGAAGGAGCAGACCCATAAGCATGCCCTTCTGGCTTACACGCTGGGTGTGAAATAACTAGTGGTTGCTGTTAACAAAATGGGTTCCACTGAGCTGCCTTACAACCAGAAGAGATACGAGGAAAACGTTAAGGAAGGCAGCGCCTACATTAAGAAAATTGGCTACAACCCTGACACAGTAGCATTGTGCCAATTACTGGTTGGAATGGTGACAACATACTGGAGCCAGGTGCTAACATGCCTTGGTTCAAGGGATGGAAAGTCACATGTAAAGATGGCAGTGCCAGTGGAACCACGCTGCTTGAAGCTCTGGATTACATCCTGACACTAGCACATCGAACTGACAAGACCTTGTTCTGTCCCTCCAGGATGTCTACACAATTGGTGGTATTGGCACTGTCCCCGTGGGCTGAGTGGAGACTGCTGTTCTCAAACCCAGCATGGGGGTCACCTTTGCTCCAGTCAATGCAGCAACTAAGTAATGTCGGTTGACATGCATGATGCAGCTTTGAGTGAAGTTCTTCCTGGGGACAATGTGGGCTTCAATGTCAAGAATATGTCTGTCAAGGATGTTCATTGTGTCAGTGTAGCTGGTGACAGCAAAAATGACCCTCCAGTGGAAGCAGCTGGCTTCACAGCTCAGTGCCAGATATGCACCTGTGCTGGATTGTCACACAGCTCACCTTGCTTGCAAATTTGCTGAGCTGAACTTGATCGTCATTCTGGGAAGAAGCTGGAAGATGGCCCCAAATTCTTGAAATCTGGTGATACTATCATCATTGATGTGGTTCCTGGCAAGCCCATGTGTGTTGAGAGCTTCTCTGACTATCCTCCTCTGGGCTGTTTTGCTGTTCATGACAGGAGAGTGACAGTTGGTATGGGTGTCATCAAAGCAGTGGACAAGAAGGCAGCTGGAGCTGGCAAGGTCACCAAGTCTGCCCAGAAAGCTCGGAATTATGAGTATTATCCCCAATACCTGCCTCCCCAGTCTTAATCAGCGGTGGAAGAACGGTCTCAGAACTGTTTGTCTCAACTGGCCATTTAAGTGTAATAGTAAAAGACTGGTGAATGATTACAATTCATCATAAAATCTTCAGAAGGAAAGGAAAATGTTTTGTGGACCATTTGGTTTTCTGTGTGGCAGATTTAAGTTACTAGTTTTTAAAATCCGTACTTTTTAATGGCAACAACTTGACCAGAAATCTGTCACAGAATTTTGAGTATTATTAAAACACAGTTCAATGAGAAAAAAAAAACCCACTCTACATCACCTAAAATCAACAGCGGTGATAGAACAATTAATATGGAATACCAAAAATAAAATGTACAAAATTTGTGCTGAGGAAAAGTGCTGGTGTTTTCCATGGCTAACAAGCATCCGTGCCTCTTTTTCCTTTTAAGGAATTACCTCTTCCCTTTTATGAGAATAATTGGTCAGAGCCTAATTCCACTATGGCCCCATGAATCAATAGGATAAAGTCCATGACCCAAGCTGGACCAATTCTAAGGTTTCCTGGAACCTTGATTCTGGAGTGAGTAGCCTGGGGGTGAAGAAAAGGTATCAGAGGCACTTACAGTAGCTCTAGCTGCATGACATGAGGCAGTGATGGCAGCAGTGGTGGCATCCTGGCTCTGAGAGTCATTGTGTTTCCAGCTTCTTGCTTTTGGGGGACCATTGGTGTGTCCTTGATTGTTGTAGGTTCCCAAGTCTGTTCCTCCAGCTTTGTCCCCCCTTCCCCCCCAATTTAGTGAGCACCTTTCTCCCCCCAGGTCTTTCCAATGAATTGTCATTTGCATTGCTTAGGTTGGGCTGGTTTGTTTCATTGTTGGCAACAAGAGGGAACTAGCAAAGGAGATTGAGAAGCTGTTTGGAGAATCACAAAACAGAGAGATATCCTGGAAGCCTGGAAAAAGATTGTTTCAAGCAGGAAAGACTGGTCAAGAATTTCAAACTTCAGGGTGAGGTCAAACAAGATAAGGACTGAAAGGTGTTTCTTAAATTTGCCAATTAAGAGGTCACTGTCAAGGAGGAGTGTGCCCGGCGGCGGGAAAGTGAGGACAGAAGGGCAGGGTGAGAAAAGAGACAGTGGACACGTAGAGACCACCCTTGAAGCAGTGTGGCTGCAAGGAGAGAACGCACCCAGAACTCATAGGAGCTGCCCAGGACCAAGGGTGAGCTTTTAAGGAGTGGAGAAATGGTAGAATGTTTTGGGGCTCAGAGCAAAGAGCCAGTAAAGGGGGAAGCTAAAGACACAGGCAAGGGGGGAAATTAATGGGCCTATACCTTATGAGTGTTTACTATGTGACAGACAAGTTTCAGAGAGAGAGACTGTCCTAGCACTGGAGGTGGGACAACTCTTCATTGACACAGGTAAGCGAAGGTGACTGAGATGAAGGAAGAGGAAAATGTGGAATATGCATCAAGTGAGCTGAATCTGGGGTAGTCATTCGGCACTCAATAAATGTTTCCTGACTTCAGCCAAGAAACATGATGAATGAGCTACAAAACATCTCCCAGAGAGAAGGAGCTGGGCTGAGAGGAAGGTTGAAGGAGAGGATGAGGCTAGGAGAGTCAGGTGAGCATGCCCGAGGCCTGGGCAGGCCAGTCAGAAGCCCTAAGGCAGAGAACTCTGGGGAATTTGTCCTGCTCAGTTTTCAGGGCTGGGCATTCTGTTATGAGAGCAATTTTACCTTTGGGGACCAGGAAAACATTGTCACTGTTCACTGTCTCCAGGTGCTGCCTAGCTGCCTACCAATGGGAGGCAGGAGACAATTCAGTGCAGATTTTTTGAACACCTACTGCATGCAAAGACCTAATGTGGCCACCAACTCTGAGATACCAGGAGTGGAGATGGAAATTAACCCCTGGTCTTCATTTGTTATTGCATCTGGTTTTAAAATTTCAGCACTACATTCCTAATCTTAAAAAGGGGGGTGAGGGTATTTGTTAAATGTTTCCATTGGTTGCTTAATTTTTTTTTTAAATAAGGTTTTAATTTTGGAATAACTTCAAATTTATAAAAACATTGCAAGGATCGAGCAGAGGGCTCCCGAATACCCTTCCTCTAGTTGCCTTTAATGTTAACATCTTCCATTGCCATGTACATTTGTCACCACTAAGAAATTAACGTAGGTACAAGTAACTGAACTCCAGACTGTAACCTGCTTCCACTAGTTTTTCCCCTAATGTCCTTTTTCTGTCTGAGTCTCAAATCCAGGATACTACTTTGCATTTAGCGTTTAGTAGTTTTTAAAGAGTAGGAATTAACTCAGTGATATTCCTCTTGTGCAAGTTTTGTAAGATTTTAAACTTTTCAAGATAGTCAACTGAACCAGACTGAAACGCTTAAACTGACTGTATTTCTTTTATTACACTAATTTGCAAATGAAACACGCACACACCCCAAAACTGTACTTTCTAACTACAGTTTGTTGTTCATAATAGTTTAGGGACAGAAATCATAAATTATGTTTATTATATTTGTGTGTTGTAACAGCACAGTTGCTTTTCTATAAACTCTCTCTAGTACTGGGGGGAAAAAATGTTTGGAGCCAGCATAGTTGGATCTGCTCACACACCCCCTGGGATAAAGATGAAGAGAAAGTTTTCCATGTGTGGTTGCCACGGTCAGACAGTGTGAACCAGTAGTCAGAAAAAGAGGTGATGCCGTGTGTTCAGTCGGCTTTTTTCTTTTGAAAGTCTAAAAGCTAAGCAAGAAAAACGCTCCTTTTTGGGGGCCAGATAGTAGCTTTCACTTACAAAGTTTGAATTGTAATGTTTTTAAAACGCGGAGATGTATTTCCTAACCGTAAATACAATCGCTCTCGAGCTCGCCAGAGACGTGAAATAACCACAGTTCAGAATCTACATTTACTGTTTCACTGTCCATCATCCTTTCTCTCTTCACCAAAACGAAACTCCGTGCGACCCAGATGGGACTCGAACCCACAATCCCCAGCTCCGGAGGCTGATGCCTTATCCATTAGGCCACTGGGTCACCACAGGATCCGGCTTCTCACACCGTCTCCTTACGCGATGCCATCATCGCGCCCCGCCCTTGCGCTCCTCAGCCTCGCGTCGGGCGGCGTGTGTTTTGGGAGCCACCCCCAGCGGCGGCGGCAGCGCGCGCCTGCGCCTTCCTACACCCTTGACCCAGACAGCAGGCCGAACCCGGCGCGCCTGCGCGTGGCGCTCTCGCCGCACTTCTCGCGACTGCGTGGCCAGCACGCGGGCGGTCTGGTTCCTGCCTGTTGTGCTCTTGGAATGTTCTCTGCTCGCGTTGCGCTTTAGGCGCTTCTGGGGAACTTGAAACAAAATTACAATGACTGTACTTCCCCCGTTCTATTTCTCTGTACCTGGGCGAGCCCGGGCGTCTGCATTTTACGAAGCTTCCCTGGACCTTCTTCTGCCACTGGCCTTAAGACCCACTCGCAGAGCATAAGGTCCACCCGCAACACCCGTCCCGCAACCTTCCCATCCCTTACAGCCCCTTCCTTCTCTTTCTTGCCCGCGTTTATTCCACGTACATTAATTTGACAACCTATGTACTGTGGACTGTTGGGGGATTCCAGGGTAAACTGCGTTTTCTTGAAATCTGCCCTTCTACGCAACTCATCTACATCTTATTTTCCTCCCCATTTCCTCTTTCCCTCCGGAGTAAAGGGAAAATGGATATAACAAGGTCCCAAAATACAAAATAATACCGATTTCTTTTAAATCCTAAAGCTTGGTCTTGGATAGATTTAGAGACTTTGGTTCCAAGCAGAATATCTCCATGCTTGTTGCATGTAAAGATGCTGCATTTGGGTTGTTGTTGTTTTTTAATTTGTTTTCCTTTTAGACAATACCGGTTCATTAAAACTGTATACTACATGGGTAAGCCAAACGAAGAAAATTGAAATTGACCACAATTCTACCATTCAGAGTTAAGCACTATTAACGTTTTGGTGTGTATCTTTTAAATCTTAGGTGTCTGTGTGTCATGTCACTGTTTTGTTACCTGTGGGCCACGAGTCATCCAGGAAATACTTTTCATGAAAACTAAGACTTTATTAGTAAACAATAATTCACGAATCATTTAGTCCTGATGGTGCAGGAGCAATGGTGGGTAAAACTGACACTTCAGTGAATCTAGGCAGTGGCACCAAACAGGTAACAGTGGTATTTTCACCTTTGTGCACTGGGGGTTGGGGGTGGGGGAATCAACTTCACTTAATGTCCTTGATAATGTTATAAGAATTATCAGTTGTATTAAGTCTCGATCCTTGAGTGCACGTTTTAAATATTTTGTGTGACAAATTGGAAATATACATAAATTATTTCTGCATACCAAAATACAGTGGTCTCTGGAGGAAAACATTTGTGCAGTTTGAGTTGCAGACTAAACTAGCTACTCTTTCACTGGAACACAGTTTTTACTTGAAAGAATGACTGACAGGCAAACTAAAATTATTTAGACTTGGTCACTTTGGGTTTGCTTCTCCAGAGCAGCTGCATTCTCTGTCTCATATCATTACAGCACACAGTCCTGTGCAAGAGAGAGGGTATCTCACTCTTTTTTTTTTGGCCCATGTGGGGATCCAACAGGCAATCTTGGTGTTATGAGCACTGTGCTCTAATCAACTGAGCTAACTGGCTGCCCCTGGTATCTCACTCTTAAAGACTTCAGTAAACATTGTATTACATGCACTGTGTTACATCTTCATCACCAAACCAATCCCTGTAGGGGGATGGGGGCGGGGCGAGGGGCGGGGTGGTAGTGAGAGTGGAGGATGTATGATTCCCCAGGGCAACATTGTATATTTCAAAGGCAACTTTTACTTTTGGCACTATGTTTCTGTTTTAGGTTGTTTCAAGTTTAGGTGCAAGTAGCGAATAGTGTGGTTGGAGAGCATGGATCCTGGAACCAGACAGCCTGGATCTGAGTTCTGCCTCTGCCTTTATTG